TCGTGGGTGTCTATAGCTGTTAAAGCTTCGTATCTGTTTTTAGTTGTGATGCTGGAGAGTGGAGACTGAAGCGGAGTCCCGCTTTTGTATTAGAGTATTTTGATTATAGTTTTATATTGCCCGTTTTGGCAAACCCGGATTGGCTCATATGGTGGAAAATGCAACAGTTAAAATAGTGTTGTGTGGCTTTGACCTGTGATAGGAACTTGTAGCTCTTTTCTCTGCTCCCCTGGCAGAATGCACTTGCTTTTCCATTGCAATGGAAAGAAGAGCTGCAGTGCAGAGCAGTTTAAGGGAACTGGGTGATGCCTGTGCTGATCTGTGAGTCAATGACTAATGAAAGAAAGGAAGGCTAACAGTCTCTGCCCTGAGCACAGTCTGTCAGGGAATATCTATTTAGTCCTGTGGATATGTTTGGAAGGCTTCATTTCATTTGAGTTTGACAGTAGTCTTTAAACAGTGGCTGTTCTTGTTTGTGTGGTAGGGGTCAAAATTGTTCCAGGGCCTTATTTAATCTTCTTGTTTTCTGGTCTCTGTGCCTTTTCAGTGAAGAGGTTAAAGCCTGAAGGAGGGAGGACAATGAGCATTTCTGTGTCTTTCAGCTCTCAATGTGTATTGGCTCTTTCTTGAGTAGTAATTGAACGATGCAAACTGAGATAGAGATACTTTATAAGAGAAACAATTGGCTTAAAAATAGACTTTTGCCTTTTTTCTAGGTGACTTACTGATGGCTTCCTGATTCTTTTTCCTTATTTTTGAAACTGACAAAAGACATTGCCCAAGTACTGTTTTTATTTAACATACTGAGCCCTGCAGCCATTTAAAGTCTAGGTATAAAGTGTTATAAGTTCAGACTGAATTTACACTTATTTTGAAAATAACTTTTAAAACTATGTTTAAAAACCCCCCCTAGATTTCAAAAATGACCAGCTTAAGCTATGATTCAGTACTCAAATGGCAGTCTTCTAAGCAACATGTAGTAATATGAATAAATGGTGGAGCAACGAACTTACTGCCTGTGTTAATACATAGCTGAATAAAACTTACTTGACTTATCATTCCATCAATACTATCAAGATTACTGTTAATGAATCTACAAGGAAAAAACAGAAGTGGATGTCAGCAACCCTGATAAAGGCAGCTGACAGTTGTCAATACCTTATTCCTTTATGAATGTGTGGCTGATACACTTCCTTAAGAAGTTCACAAATCTGTTTAATTTTTTTGAATGGTAGTCATTCAAAGTCTTCTAGGTTGCTCTGAATAAATACTATAGATGTTAAAAAACTGCTGTAAGAAAAATAATGGTAAGGTTTAAGTCAAGGTTGAACTTCTGCAACTCCACATTTTACTTCGCTTAGGCTTGCTGACAGTTCCTAGACTGTACAGTCAGGTTAGCAGAAACCATTATCTGGAAAACCAAAAGAATTTTGATTTCAGTGACTACTAAAGGCTGTTGACAGTTTCTCTACTTTCTTGTAATCAAGTCTGGAAATACAAGATGTATTTAAGCAGTTCTTTTGTGTTTAAAAGACTCCTAAGGTAGCTTTTAGTGTGCAGAATGAATCCTTGTATTGAAATGTCTTTGGGCTTTAGTAAAATGTTATTCCTTCTGCCTCCTCTTTAGCAAACCTCTGTCTGCATTCTGCCTTCAACCTTGAAGCCTCCAAGGTTATTATTCGGAACTAGATGTGGGGTTTGTGTTTCACAGCCTGAAAAGTATCTGTACCCTTTCCATTATTCATTTCTTCTTTCAAATCTGTTGGAAGAGCCTTGCTTATCATTAAAATAGAATTATTTTTTTTTTTAATTTTTGCAAATTAGAAAAGTTGTGAGAACTGAATATTCAGTTTTGGGTCCTTTTACCACAGAGAAATACAGACGAGTAAATGAAAAAAAGAGCATGTTATGTCTTCCTTCTAACATCTGCAAGAAGATAGTCTTCACTATCCTGTTATTTTGTAATACTAGACTGCCAGATACATTTTGATACTGTTTTTTTGTGGGTTTTTGTTGTTTTTTTTTTAACTTTTTTTTTTTTTTTTTTTTAAACAATCTGGCAGGAATGGTTGATATAACAGAATTCTTTGGATTCTTTTAAACCTTTTTTCCCCTGCATGCCTACTTTTTCTGCTTATTTTTTCCCCTCTTTCTACCTGATTTATAAAGACTCTGCTCTGGCAAATCTTGTTATGGATTTTCTTCTTCCTTTGCCAAGAACATGGTGGACTGGGAAGTTATTCATGAATACAACCCAAACTTGAGTTTGAATACCAGCCAGTGAAAGGATGAAACTTGGGTTAGTCCATAAGTACAGAACACAAATATGGGCATAAATCACTGCCTATGGTTTACTCCTTAATTGCCCTTTCTCTTAAATGTAGCATCTATTTTCTACTAGTTGCCCTTGTAAACAAGTGCTCATCTTGCTAAAATTTTGTTCTTAGTTTGACAGTTTTTAAGTTCACGTGTTTTTCCTCTAATGCACATATACAAGTCGAAAGTCTGTAATCTAACCAAACTAGACAGAAATTCAACTTTTGAATATGTTTGTAAGTTGCCATAGATGACAGTTCTGAAAGCAACTGCCGTTAATAAAAGGTGGAAACTGGTATTTGTATGAGATACTGATGCTTTCATCTTATTATTTTCATCCCCAAATCGTTAATTAACACTTGTGTGACTTTCTTGTTTATGCTTATTCAGTTACTGTATACAATATCATTTCACTGAGTAACACGGATAAGCTATGCCTTTTTTTCCGAATTAGTGTTGAACCATTCACGCTTCAGTGGCTTTCACAAACAGTCACCTCAATGGACATCTTTTTTTTTTCATTACTTTAAGTAGCATGATACCGTTTCATCCAACGCTTTTCTCATTAGTTCCTAAGTAAGACTTTGTATAATGATGTGAACGTGGGAAAGAGCGATGTAATGCCTGACTGGAATTCCTTTTCATTGGCTCCTTGAAAATAACTCAAACAGAATCTTGCAACAGTAGAGTCATCTTCTTCCAGGCAATGGTTGACAACATGACTGTTTTGAAAACAGCAGAAGGGTATTTTTGTGTTTGAGCTTTGAAAGTCCTTTAAACTTAACTGAATTTGAAGAAGAGATGGACAGTCTAGCTATGTGGCACAGTTTATTAGAGTTGAAAGCAGAGAGGATTTCATATCATTTATGTATTGGGAAATGTTATTAATTACTGATGCTCCTGCTTATGGGGCTAAAAGTGTTAATGGATTTAAGGCCAGGAAAAGTTTTTTCCTTAATATGTGTTGGCAGGATACAGTAGGAGGGGAACTGTTACAAGGAAATATATTTCAACATTTGTTAGGGCCGCAGCACATAGCAAAGAGATTGTTTCATTAAAATCACTTTCAGTATGAAAAGACCTAGGTTGTTACATATAAGTAGACTTAAAAAAACCCCAACAGAACAAAACAGTTTAATTCTTCCTTAAACCATTCACTTGCGGGCAAAACCCCACCAATTTGATGTTTATGATAGATCTTCTGACCTTCTAGTAATTTGTTATGGGTCTTGTAGATTGAATGTGGTGTTTTAGAATAAATCTGTAAGCTGTGATCCATGTTTTGCTTTGGAATAAGTGCCCTAGAATTTTAAATATTACCTCTTCAAAAGTGAACCTGTTCACAGATTTTTGTTTGTTTGTTTTGATGCAAGTTTTACTTCTAGTATCTATTTGTAAATTCAAGTGATTTGCTTTTTCATCAATAAGTGGATCAGCATCTTCTAGATTCGCACATGTATCAAAAGAACCACCATTCTAATTGACTGTGCTGCTGGATTTGAAATTCTAAGAAGTATTATGTACAAAGAAGCATTTAAGTTACGGGGGGCTTTGTTGGTTTTGTTTGGGTTTGGTTTTGTTTCCCCTGTGCTTGGAAGAATAACATTGCAGCAGTTGGAGATCACTGTTCTATAAGCTGGACTACCCAGCAGGTTGAGGGAGGTGATCTTCCCCTTCTACTGAGCGCTGGTGAGGCCACAGCTGCAATGCTGTGTCCAGTTCTGGGCTTCCCAGTACAGGAAAGACATTGACATACTAGAGAGAGTCCAGCGAAGGGTCATGAAGATGATGAAGGGACTGGAGCATCTCCCCTATGAGGAAAGGCTGAGAGCTGGGACTGTTCAGCCTGGAGAAGAGAAGGTTCAAGGGAGATCTTGTTACTGTATATAAACATCTGAAAGGAGGGTGCAAAAAGAGCAGAGCCAGACTTGTCTTGGTGGTGCCCAGTGACAGGACCAGAAGCAATGGGCACACTGAAACACAGGAGGTTCACTCTGAACATCAGAAAACACTTTTTTTACTGTGGGGGTCACTGAGCACTGGCAGAGGCTGGCCAGGTAGACTGTGGAATCTCCATCCTTGCAGATACTCCATCTGGGCATGGTTCTGGGCAACTGACTCTGGGTGGTCCTGGTTGAGCAAGGGAGTTGGACCAGATGACCTCCAGAAGTGTCTTCCAACCTCGACTATTATGTGACTTTTCCGTTCAGAAATTGCAACGTTGGAATTTGTGATCTATTCAAAGTACAACTTCCTCTTGGCTTTTACTGTGCGAACGATGGTGGTCGCTTAACAAGTGTTTATTATTGAGCCTTGAATGTTAGGCTAATATTTTATGCAGTCTTTGGATGTTTGGTGATATTCTTATGATACACTGCTATGAGTTATATTTTTTCATTGTACTTTTATTTCTAAAACTAGATTGTTTTTTTAATGAAGTGATCATGTTAGTAACTATTCCTTTATGAAGACTTCCAATACTGACTTTTCCTGAGACTGTAGTCTTAAAAGAAGATGAGGCTTTGTGGATTTTTTTCTTTTTTTTTTTTTTTTTTCCTGCCCTGAAGTCACCAGTATTCTGTGTAAGCTATTGAAATAAGACAAACAAGTAGTTGCTTTCTTCAGTAAGGAAAAGTGATTAGCCAGAATTATAATTACTGCTGTTTCCACTAACTTATTCTTGTCTTTTTTGTGTATATGCAGAGCACAAAGTAATCATAGTGGGACTTGATAATGCTGGAAAGACTACTATTCTTTACCAATTGTAAGTATATGAGCTATTTTGTTTTTCTGTTTACATTTTAGTATTTGTCACTGTTTAATCATTGAAAATTCAGCTTTGCAACCTGACAGAATCTCTGAGAGTCTAGATCACAGTTTGTACATTAATTGTGTTAGTTGTTCTAAACAGAGTAAATGTTTAAAGGATAAGTGAAGGAACTGCCATGTTTTGAAGTGGAACTGTAAACTGAATAAAAAAATTGTACGTACAAGCACAAAGTGAACTGCAAATTCTTTTGCCATGAAAGCCTAGCTTTATTTGTAAGCATAGAAATAATCCTGTCACCAAGAACTGCAGAGAAAAAGTGATTTTTAAATTAATGGAAATTCTAGCCAATCTGCAAAAAATCCATAAATGTTTCCAAATGTTTCCTGATTCCAGTGTCTAAAATTCATGATGGAGGATTCCTCAAAATAGTATTTCATCTTGCCTAGGTCCTACCTTAAGCATTTTCAATAGCATCACTGCACCCAAATCTTGCCAGCATTACAAAAATATCTATGATAAATTCAAGAATATTGGCAGTAACATAATTACTATTGTAATTGTGGAAAAGGAGGAGGGTGTAGCCAAATTACTATGCGTATATTTGGATACAAAGACACCAGAGGGTATTTTCCAAAAAACCTTTTTCCTGAGCACTTTTGTCAAAGCTCAAAGGTAGAATGGAGAAATTTTTAGCTATGTAAACAATTAATCCTTTGGAATTTGTTTTAGTATTGAGTTACTAAGTTGAGTGCTCTGATAAAATTATATTTTGAGTTATATTTTGCACAGTTTAGTGTTCCTCTTGTTTGGGTTCTTTAGAATAGCAGCTTCTACTTTGAAAGAAGTGCATTTTAAGTGTCTGTTAAAGAGTGTCCTTTAAAAAGAGAAGAATCTTAAAACACAGATGCTTATCCATTTGTTATAAACCTTTTATGTGCTTGTTTTTTGTTGCTGATGTCTTCAAGCATGTCTATAGTCTGTGCTACAAAAGCACACTAGAACTTAATCAACCACATTTTTTAGTCAAAATTCAGATTGAACTAATCTTTTTACTGAAGAACTGTTATTGAATATTCAAATGTATAGCTTTTTGAAATATGCCTAGTTTTAAAGTCTTTTTTTATCAGTTACACATATTTACGTTTTCTACAACAAATTCGTTTTAATTGAGCTGTGACAAGCCTTGTGGATTTTACTGGCTGGTCTTTAAGGTGTGATGTTGTTTCCTTCAGCTTAATGAATGAAGTGGTTCATACTTCTCCAACCATAGGAAGCAATGTAGAAGAAATAGTGGTGAAAAACACTCATTTCTTAATGTGGGATATTGGAGGACAAGAATCATTACGGTCATCGTGGAATACCTATTATTCAAACACAGAGGTATGAGAAGCTGCTTTGAAATCTGCAAATTCAATAAGTTTGAAATTGTATCTATTTATTAAGAATATAGGTAGATTATTATAAAGATTGCAGCTGTGTTGGTTTTAAGTCTTTTTGAGGAAGAGCAAACCCCAAAATTGTAAGGTGTCTCTGGTATGCAGCCAATCTTCTGGTAATATTAGAAGTATTTTTCCTGTCTACTTTACACTAGTGTTGTTTGATCTGTGGTATAAACTGTGAAGTTAGATATTTTTATTTTTTTTTTCCCTAGACAATCAAATGATATCAAAATACATTTCAGATCAAATAGAGTTCTTGCATGTTTTTTCAAGTAGATTAAAAAGAAAATTTTGCAATGTACTTTGCAAATCCAGTGAGGATTTGCAGTGGTTAACCTAACTTCTATATATCTAGTCTGAAATGTTTTTGAGGTGATGATAATTAAGGGTGAGGAATTAAACTTTCTCTAGGCGGCAGTATTTAAAAAGCTAATCAGCTTTTGGCTTTTATCCAAAGGATAAAGGGAAGTCTTTCAGTGCAGTACTCATGAGGTACTGGTAAAGCTACCATTGCTGGAAAGGTTGGAGTAAAACTCAGCAACAGTTGTCTTTTGGGGGGGTTGTTCTTTATGCTAGTCTTTTCGATGCCAAGAGGTTATCAACACAACATGCATGTAAGATCTCTGTAGCCTCACTTTGAGATTTCTACATTGATGTAAAAGATTTTTAGACTTAGTTTCCTACCATTTCTACAAAAAGCAGAGATCACTTGTAGATATTACTCATTATATAAACATTCCATCCTCCTGTAAAGTGAGGTTTTCTGCCCTATGCCCACTTTGAGAGAGGGGAGATTAGAGTGATCCACCTCAGATGTTCAGAAACTTTTTATCTACTGAGAGCCTGGTGATGACATCTCAACCTTCATCTCTAGTATTTTAAACTAATTTTTAATTTTGTCTAGAAAAATATGGCTACATTTAAGACATATACACATGAGGGTGAAGAGACGTCTGCCAGCATTATCTGGACAATAACAATAAGTTCTTGACATTTGTCCATTGAGAGTCTTTGATTTTGGAATTCGGGGAGATGCATGTGTTAGTTCTTTTTTTGATGCTTGTGGGATGTTCTTTATCATGTTCTGGCTAATAAGTGTTTGAAATCCAGTGCTTTCTAGCACTTGGAAAGAAGAACTTTCGCTTTACTTAGGAGCTTTGTCTGCTGGAAACAGTTGAGGAAGAAAAGAGATCTGTTTAGTATGCTAATCCTAGCCTCCCTGATATGAATAATTCCTTTACTATTCCTCATCTGCTAGACATCTCAAAGTCACAGCAGAATTAAATTGGCTTACTTTTCCATACTTTGTGGTCATTTTCAATGGATAATCAATCTCCTTAATTTTATAAGGCAAAGTGATTTGGAGAATATGTTGGAGAATTATAGCAGTGACTTCTAATCCTCCTTTTTTGTTGCTCTCTCTCTTTCCTCTCTTTCCTTATCTGTAAATTGAAGCAATTGAAACAAAATCTTTGGAGTGATGTAGAAATGCCACAAATAAGCTTTTCAGTGCTACCTGTCCTAATTAGCTTCAACTTAATATGGCTAATTGTGCAATTCTGTTTTAAGAGTCAGATCATATTCTTACAGAAAGTATGTTGAGACAGGTTCACAGACACAAAATTTGGGGGAGAGGAAAGGAGAGGGAGCTCTCATGGTTAAGTTATCAGGGGTGGGGGCAAACAAAAAGAGTTACAGTAAAAGAAAAGGGATGGAAAAGTATACCCATCTGGGCAGAGAAGTAATGGAGTCTCTCAGATGAATGTCATCTCCTTGGTTTCCTCTCCAGTGTAGTATATGTTCCCTGTAATTCTTTTTTTTTTTTTTTTTTAATAGTATCTGTATAATTTTCATCAGAACGTGCTTGATCTCCCTACTCATTCTTCCCACCTGTGATGCTGTTAGCACTGCTTGGAGCACACTCTGAGCAGGACAAGTGTTGAACACTGATCAGTTGTTATGGTTTGTGTACACATACTATTGTGTAATGCTTACAAGCATTTACTTGAGTATTACCTACTACATAATGCCATGTCTTTTTCCTCTCTAGTGTAAGGCTATAAAATAGAAGGTACAAAACAAGGGGCAGAAAGAGTGGGGTAAAAGAGAGTAATTTTCATACCAGTGACAATTGCTTCCCATGAGAGATCTGATATACCAGACCTAGCAGTGTCTCAAGATTCACAGGTGCATGGCCATGAGAATTATGTGCCTGGCAGGAACAGTAAGGGCAAAATCACTGCTATAGCCATCTCCAAGTGCCTAGGTAGGAGTGTGCAAAGTTATAAGTGAGAGGCCAACTGCACAGGCGCTTTGCAAATGTTAAGGTGTTGTGCAACAACATAATGCAGGTACGTAGCTTTCTAAGGTCTGATGTACTACATTGAAATAACATTTCTTAAGCCTTGTAAGTGAGATGACGCTGAATTGCTAAAAATGCATCTGTCAAAATAGGGAATTTCAATTTCAGTTTTACAGTTTTCTGAGCATGCAAGTAGTTGTGGACAGTAATAACTGTTTTCATTGATAACTATGTAGCAAGTTTGTTATCCACATTTTAAATGTAATCCACTATCTGTAGGTGCTTTTGGTACCTACATCACCATTTTGCTTATGATGTAGGGCCTGAAAATCCGCCAAGGAGGTTTAACCATAGTGCATGGAAGTAGATCTTAAGAGCAGTGCTCAAATGTACAAGTGCAATCTTTTTTTTTTTAAACTATAATCTTCATGTATGATTCCCAGGGCTCTAGCAAGAGACTGTGACAATAAACCTCTTTTCTGTTTTCTAGTGTGCTCTGAAAGTCTATGTCTCTCTTAATAGGAAAACTTGTGGTAGTTGTCTCTTGAAAACATGCTTTCTGTAATTTATACTTTGTACTTACATACTGTACTATTGTTTTTCCCCTAGTTCATCATTCTTGTTGTTGACAGCATTGATAGAGAGCGACTTTCTATTACAAAAGAAGAACTTTATAGAATGCTGGCTCATGAGGTATGGTGGGGAGTTGGGATAATAGCTTTCTTTTGTTGTGAACATTCATATAACATTATATTCTTCCTACGTTAACAAAAATTATACCATCACAAAAAAATTTCTGAGCCTAAATGTGCATGCATGTTGGTCACATTTTAAAACCATGTAAATTTTAAAAAACAGGAAAATTATTATGAAGCACTCTTCTAATAGTAAGTGCTTGATTGTAATCAAATCACTTTTATTTTGCAAATGTTGAACTTGTAAAATATCTTAACCTTCATATTAATGTGACTGGATGTTACTGTTTCCACCACTAACTCTCTTCTTTCAGTTCAATGGTTAAAATTTCAAGAAACTTTTTTTTTTTAATTTTTATTGTAGAAAATAGGCAATTCCATTTCTCTTTCTTGTTTATTTTAATCGTGCTCCTTAAAATTAAGGAGCATATATAATACTATGGATAAATGAATTTCAGTTCCATTTCCTTCTGAATTGTTTTGTTTGTAGTTTTATTATTATATGTTGTATTGAGGACTGTTCAACATTGGGTCAACTCCCTCAAAGATCCTAGATTAACATCTACATTGGATTAGGTAAAGTACATTAAAACCTTCTGTGATCACTCTCAAGCTAAAACAGGGTTGTTTTAAATCTAAATATCTTCCTTCGCTTTTGAAGGAAAAGGATTTAGTACAATGCAAGTAATTCTGTTGAGTTCATTTCTCTGAGAGAAATGAGTCAGTTTTTACTTTACAGTTAATGTAGTTTGGATCTGGTAGTAAGGAGCAAATACACTAACAAAAAAGGTGGAAAGATGACTTTTAGTGGTGAAGTTTTCCCATGTAGTTTATTAGTTTCCAGTGTTATAAGCTCTTATGAGATTGTGATATACCATCTCTTGAAAACAGTTGGTAGGCCTAGACTGGACTACTTGTAGGAGTGAATTTTCAACTTTGGACCATAAAGGTTTGGTTTTTTTTTCCACTCTTGATGGAGAAATAGTCTCAAAATTTAATACACTGAAATGTGTTGAACACTTTTATTCACAACTGACAGCTTCCTGAGTGTTGCATTTGTCTACCCATCTGCACTCCTAAACCCATACGTCCCAGTTCTTGTCTCATTGCTGTGTGGTATCTTAATTTCCATACAGATACAAAGCAACTTTTTATTAGTTTCTAGTTTTACTAAAGCTGCTGCAGGATTATTAGAGCTCCCTTTTTGGAACAATAGGATAAAACTTAAAAGAATTTAGATAGCTTTCTTAAATTGTTACTGCTTTAGTCACTGCAGAAGTTGTTTAATGAAATTGTAAAGTAATTTCAAGGGAATAATATCTAGCAGGCTTTTCCATTTGAATAGTATCTAGTGTAGTTTTTCAAATGTTTATCCAGTAATAATTCTGCTGGCTGGATGGTTTGGAGCTTTATGAAATATATTTTAACAAGACTTTTATTAGTTAACATATGAACATGTGGTCAACACCAGAAGGATAGTTTTATAATGCATTATAATTTGATTCTGTGTGGTAGAGAATGATTCTGAATAAATTCATTTCTTCAGTCTTAGTGTAATTAATTTTTAAAGCAGTAAGCTTGTTAAAACTCCTTGCTGCTGTGTAATTGTAGATAAGCTTGAATACAGTTCTTTCAAGAAATTCAGTTGATGCAATAGCCTTTTAGTTCTTTAAAATAACTGTTATGAATACTCTAAATTACTTCTAGGATTTACGGAAAGCTGCAGTTCTCATCTTTGCGAACAAGCAGGACATGAAAGGTTGCATGACAGCTGCTGAGATATCTACATACCTCACCCTGAGCTCCATAAAGGATCACCCGTGGCACATTCAGTCCTGTTGTGCTTTGACAGGAGAAGGGTAAATGCTTACTGCTTAGTGTAGCAATATTTGGTACATGAGAATACTGATTTAGAAGCCTATTGACACCAATGTAGATTTCCTGAAAGAACATATTTTCTGTTCTTTGCAGTCAGAGGGACATACTGAATTTTTCTTCTTCTTTATTGAACCTTGTGGATTTTTTTTCATAACACAAACTCCAAAATTTTATGAAAGACTTTCAGCTTACTGTTTTAAAAAACCCAAGCAACACAACCCCCCCTCCAAACAAAACCCAGCACCCCCCGCACCAGCCAAATATGTAGCTGTTGGCATAATTTGTTTTCTCTCTGTGCGCTGCCCTCTCATTTTGTGTGTCTTTGTGTAGTTACTGTCTTCTTCCTTTGCATTCTGATCTACCATAAGCTTCTCAGGTGGGGCAGGTTGGGGTGGTGTTGGGGTTTGTTTTGGTTGGTTGGGTTTTTTGATAAGCATTCAAACATAATTTTGATGAAAACGTACTTAGATCTGGCATAAGACAAAATTGTTGCCAATATTAAACCTTTTGTTTGTATCTGGCTGATGTAACTAATTTTGAAATTTATATACCTTATGCCAGCAATTAGTAAAACGGAAAGCTGAGCTTTCCTTAAATCCGTTGTGTATAAAGATCAAAAGACATTTTTGGATGCCTGTAACAAGCTGGATAGTGTCTTGCTTACATGGTTTGAATTGGGCTTATTTTTCGTCTTGATTCTTAAAGCAGTCTTCTAGTGTGTAATAGTTAGAGGGTTTTTTTTCATCTGTGCGTACAACCTTTATAATAATGTGGTCTTGTGACATCAAAAATAGTGAATCCAGCTGAGTGTTTGGGAAGTGAGAGCATCTTCTTCGTTTCTAGCATGAAGTATTTTCTAAAGTAATGGAGATGTCTTGTAGAGTGATCGCTAGTGTTCACTTCCTTAGGGTGGGATGTGTTACTGAGAACAAACTGTTTTTTTTGATTGAACCTTTGGATTGTGTTAACTCTGCTTTACTCCTACCAGTTTTGCCAAAGTCACTTTTGAGTATTCAGTTTATGTACTAACTTAGATCTTCAAACGTTGGCTTTTAGAGGAAGGAAGAAATAAATGAATACAAACTGTGGTTTAGAAACATTGGCCATCCTAGACTGCTTCTTTCTTACATTAAAAAAAAAAAAAAAAAAGTGAATCATTAGAATACTTAAAACTGTGACAAGAGTGAGACCAACTCATAAAAAAAAAATTTGCAGAGTTAGATTGCTGAGCTGAATCTCCCTTGGGAAGTTCTGACAGGATTCGTGAGAGATTAGCCCCATGTGAGTGAAGCTAGCCTTCTTGGATAGCTAAGTCATGATTTACTTTACAAAGGTAAAGCTTAAAAATGGCATAAACTAGGTAACTAGATCCCTAGAAAATCAAAGGAAAGCCTGTCTTCTGAAATAGAGGACTTTTAAATAGAGATGCAAGTTGAATGAGTAAGCAGATTAGATCCCATGCAATCTTGGTGTTGAATATAAACAAATTTTTAATTTTGTAATAGGATTTTGGAATTCCTGATGCACTGCCTTTTTTGTGAACCAATTCAGTCTGGGTAACCTGTCCTTTGTCTTTTAGTGTTAGTAAGTAAAGGTCTAGCTTTCAAGTAAGCAGTCTTTCATAGGAAACCTGTTGAAAAAGAAAAGCTTACTTGACTCCATGTGCTTATGAGTAAATATGTTAAGAATAGTGTCTTTCAGATTTACAAAGAAAAAAAATTGAAGGAGTGCCAAGTTTCAATAAAATAGTATGCTTGACCATCTTCTTGTGGCTAAAGCCTAAGTAGACTTAAATTAAAACACTTTTTACTCTGTTCAGGTTTCAATCCCAATTCCAGCTTTTTTTATTCATTTTAAGTAGATGTTTTTAAAGTGTTTTCTACTTGTTTTTATGTTTAAAGATGATGGAATAGAACTAGTACCAGTATAACATCTCTTATCTTTCAGATTATGCCAAGGCTTGGAGTGGATGACCTCTCGTATTGGAGTGAGATAGCTGCTTCCACCCGCCCCCGCCCCCCCCAAAAGGAGAGACTTCTATTTATCCTGTGAACATGTACATCTGTACTTTTGGCTGCTGAGGCAGTGACCATGTTTAATTTATATCAGCCAACCCCCAAGCTGTACTTGAATCAAGTGCAGTTGAACTGAAACACAAAGTATTTTCTTAACTTTTTTTGATACACTAATCTTCAACTGGATCAACATATGTGAATCTGTTTTTAAGCATTGAAATTCCTCTGAATATGTATTCTAACTTTTTTGATGATAGCTTTTTAAAATCAGTTTTGTCATTGTCGATATTTCATACTTCCTCTTTCTAAATAGTTTATATAACTCACTAACATAAATGAGCGCAGTTTGTTTAATAATGAAAAAGTAAAGAGTAGGTTGACTTTACTCTGGCATAGCTTTAGCCTCTAAGGATAACTGTATCTCCAGCTCGGCTTCCTGGAACATCAGTAGAGTTCTAGCCAACATGGGAGTTGATAGTTATGAATGCAAATTGTTAAAAGCTAGTTATAGTTAATATTGTGGTGGCTTTTAACCTGGTATATAATTGAACTTCTGCCTTAAAAGTAATCTATTTAATTCTCAGTTTCTCTGGCAAGTAGTTCTAGGATATGATTCTTTTACTTGAAAATACATCTCTGTACAGCGGATAAAAATTTGGTAATTACGTCCTGGTTTAGTCATTTGGAACTTGAATACCTTTTTAAAAATGAACCTCTTGATAATTAAATTTGGATTCAAGGCAGCTAGTGTTATGTGTAGACTTGCTGTAATCTGTTAAAATTTTAAATTATCCATGAGCCTTCCTCACCTTTTAGTGAGAGTGCTGTTTTCTAAATGAATGCAAAATCAAAAGGGAAGCCAGATTTATAAAAAGAACAAAGTCATGGTGCTGTAACTGTAGACTTCAGAGTGAAGCTAATTTTGACATTTATTTACCTACTGTTAAATATGTTTTCAGATTTTGTTGCATAGAAAATATTTTGCCTTAATTTTTGTTTTTAGCCTTATTTGCAGGAGCAGAGAACTTTTGATGGTGTTTGAGTTAGATTCATTCACCTGAAATTTAGGAGTTGAAAGTTGAAAAATTAGAGAGCTTCCATTTGAAAAACAGGTGGTGAAAGATTGGACCTAGTAGCTCTTAATTCAATTTGAAGGGGATGAAGTTAGATCTGTAAAGAGAATCTAAAGCTATGGATGAAGTTAATTGAGACCATTAGGCACCAAAAAAACCACCAACCACCCCAAAAACCATCAAGGGTGGGGGAAGCGGGGTGGGAAACCCAGAAAAAAAACAAACCCAATTGTGGACACCCAATTCCTAGTGAAATCCCAGCAGCAGTCAGGTATCTAACATGCATAAATGCTTGGCAGGCTTTCCAGAGGCACCATTCTGCACTTTTGCATGCCTAAAAACCACGTGCAGTCTGGTTACTAGAACCCTTTTGCTAATTGACTGTAGGCCTTTAATGACAAAATGCTTTTGTTAAATCTTGTTTTGATAATTCAAGCACACTGAGTTTTCTTTAATAAAATTAAGTTTTTTAAATTTCAATTTGCTTCCATTTTTATTTGAGCAAAGCTTAATGAAATTTTAGAAATATCAGCAAATATGTTGTCATAACTGTTAAAAAGAAGACTTTGAATTCATGTGGAAAGAGCGATTGGTTGAATGAAGTTGTATATTAATGCTGGTTAGCAGAAGTCACATTTAGGAGAAAGACTGTTGAGTGTCAAGTCAAAATGCTCAGAAAATAATTTCAATCAGTGAAAAGTAGTACTTAAAGAAAAAAGAGGAATGCAAGGCAAGGTTAAAATCTGATGCTAAAGCTTCTTGCTCCAATGTTCATGTTAACAACTGTTCTAATGTGTGAAAATAAGATTTGTTTTGTTCTTAGGGAAGTGAATTATAAATGAAAAAAATAAAATGATACTGTGAATGAGGTTTCTTGTTTGGTGACTTAATAAATTCAGTTTGCAATTTAGATTTATTTTCAGGTTTGTTTTTATGCAATTCAGAATGTTGTCCTGAGTATGTATAAAAAGCACTATCTGGATGTATAGCTCTCTGCTAGTTTAAAAAAAACCTAAGGCATGATTTTGTATTTAACACTTTCCAGGTAAAACCATTCGTAAATCTAGAGTTTGGTTACTAAATCCAGTCTCAGAGGTAATACACCTAACTGATCAGGAGGAAATGGTCAGCTTGTAGACCTTAGAATATCAGAATAATGAAAGTTTTCTTTTAATTCCTTAACACTTAAGACCTTTGCGTACCTTTACGAAAGGAAACATTTTTGACAATAGCTATGATTTTGATCATCTTACTACTTCATTTTCTACAACAGTTTTCCATTTATAATATCAGTTTGTTCACAGCACTGATGCTGTGGTTTTGGTTTTTTGAAAAAATCTTGATGTGGAACTTTGGGGGGTTTATTTTTAATCGCCTTCAGAGCCTGTTAAATGAAAAGTGATTTGATTTAAAATAATTTTTACAATGGGGTGCTCTAGAACACTGCACGTGTCTTTGCACTGCCAAACACCGCGTTATTTTTGTTAATCTGTATGTGATAGAGATATTGCAGGTAGTTTTGCACTTTGAAAATACTCTGCATTTAATATACTGTTTACAAAGAACACTGTTAATCAGCTTCTTGGAGGAAATTATAAATGTAAGGAAACATTTTAAAACATTCTCGAGTAAAGTATCAGAAATACTTTTCTCCTAAATAACCCATTTTACTCAAAATACAGGATACTGTAATAAAGTAATTGGTATGCGTGTTATGATCTGATTTATAAAATCAGACCCATTGTGTTAAAACAATCCATCATATTATGAGAGTAGTTCTGATTTGTTTGGCCGCCTCTATGAGCATGTACCTTTGAGCAATTTTTGTAATGCTTGGATGAGGTTTGCAGGATCAGCTTTTTGAAAGTAATCTTTGCAGACTTTTAAGCTCTTTTGCTTAGCTGAATTTGCTTAGTTTATCTGAAATGGAATTAAATTTTGCAAGAAGACTTTCCCTTCCCCCTTCGCTGTAAGCTAACTGTTGTTACTAAGTAGATCCAGTAATAATTTTAATGTTTCCCTCCCTGTTAATCATTCTAAGACTGAATAAAGCCTTATTGCATAAATAAGTACTAGGAAAAATAAGCTGGCTAATTGAGTAGGGAGTATACTGTCCTTCCTATCTCTTTTGTCCGGCTAACTTTTGTCTGCTTCAATAATATATGGTAAGTGAAAACCATTTACTAAGGAAAAAAAAAATAATGTATTTTGTGACTATAAAAAGTTGATTTTCCTTTCTTACCTTTTAGCATGTTAAAGGGGGTCATTTGTGATTGAGAAGGAAACAGTGTTCTTTCTTTACCCTACAGTTCATGGTTACTGTAGCTTGCAAATATTCAAGTGCTCTCTGTTACAATTTCCTATGTTGAATTTTTTTAAAGTTCATTTGCTCTTCTTAAACTGAAGTGTCCTCCATAAAACATGTAATTTGAATTGTTTCCAGTTTTGGAAGTAAAATTCTACAGCCTGGTAGTCATTTCACCATGTAAATATTGTAACAGACAGCAAAATATGGTTTTGGGGTGGAAAAAAGCTCTGATGAAAAATTACTTGTGTTTCGTTTTTGTGCTCTTCAAGTAGTTTTTCTAACAGACTGTCATTTGTGTTCTGTTTTTTTGTTTAAAAAAAAATCTTCTGGACAAAACATGATTTTTAGACAAGTATTTACAGACAGATCAGTAATTTATGTTGAGTTGTGAAAATGGGGGTGTGGGGAGCAGTACAGTCAGTTGAATTCCTGTTTTTTCTGTTCAATCCCACCACTATTTCATAAGGATAGGCTTTAAACAGTAGATAGCCTTTCAGTGTCTTTGCCTAGGGTGTTAGTTTTGACCTTCTTAATGTAACATGGTATGTTTCCTTTTTCCCTAGCAATTCTAAAAATCTTCCCAAAGAATAAAGAGTTTTTGAAGATGTTTTCAAAGCAGAAAGGCCAGAGTAGCAAAATAAGTATGTGCCTATATTTAAACAGCTGTATTTACCTAGACATGATGCATCTCTTATGTAGGAATACACCTCCTGAAATGCTGTGAATGAAGTTGCCTTCCTGAAACCATACTTTTTATCATTTTTAAAAAACAAAGCCAGAAACCTCGCATGCCTTCGCTGTTCATGAGTATGTTCACGGCAGTTTGCATTAAGGGTGTTCCTTTGTCTCTGTTCTCACCACTGGACGTCAGGCTTAGGAAGCAAGCTGTCTTGATTTCTTGATGGTGCCTCACTACCTTTCCATTCCATCTCTAACTGTAGCCCTTGTCCTTTTTCTTTTTTGTTTTTTCTGTTTCCTTTTCTTTTTTTTCTTCCCCCTCAGGTATTGTTGCCTTGTACTGTCTTGTCTAAAGATGCTGAAAAAGGCATGTAAGGTACTGTACAAAAAAAAAAGATGTTCATACACTGTAGGTTTTGCCAAGGAAGCTGCATTTTCCTCATGCAGCTGTTGTGCGAAATCCAATCTCATTTTACTGTTATCTCCCTTTTTAAATTTTTTTTGGTTTTTCTTTACATAGTTTAAGTACATTCTCTTAGTTTGTCTGTGTGCATGTTTACCCTCTCACCCTGAGCAGTCTCCATTTCTAAGACATTGCTGGCATCTCATCTGGGGATCTAAAGAGTCCCCTAACTTGATGTTCTACAAAACCTGGACAACCGTTTCTGGTACAGGGGCACAGATTTCCTGATGTTTACCCAGGCAGGCTGTACTAACGCTCGGGATCCATGTTGCGGCTTCCTCATACCTGTGGGCACTAGCAGTTCTCTAGTTTTAATCTTTGCAAGTTCTTCTGTATCAAATTTAAGGGTCGCTATTCACCACTGGGATTTTTGTTCTGAAACGTGTACTGTTATCCTGATCCTGCAGGAACCCTTCCTTTTTTTCCTGTGAATAACAAATTCCATAAATACAATGTCGAGAGAGAGATGATGTTATCTCTTTTTCCAGTAGCTATGTTGATCTAGTGTCAAACTTCTGTTTGTGTTGTGCAAGCATATACTATGTTCCAGTTCAAGAAATTAATGTGTCTTATACAGATTTATATTATACTACTGTAAATGGGTTGGCATGTGGCTTTTTATTTGTTTATTTTTGTGAATTTCTTGCCTAGGTGTTAAAGAGTATCCCCAAACCAGTGATTCTTTCCAGCTATTTAAGCACATTACACAATGGGAAGAGGACTTGGGCATAGCTACTCAAATTTTTTTTAATCAAAATAAAATTGAGTTGCTCTGTTAAATGTGAGGGGGTTTTGTCTGTGTTCTTTGGTGAAGAGGTATCAAAGTAGTGTAACATTGTCTCTTTAAGTGTAGACATTAGGGAAAGTATTTCATCTTCAGCCGCAGAATCTGGGCCTGCAGCTTGTGCAACTGTAGCCGATTCATCATACACCTTGGTCGGACACCTCCTGCCTTTCATCTCCGGACGAGCTCCAACTTTGATCCGAAGGAGACTT